TAGTGTGTGTGACAAAATTACGATTAAATGGAACATTAACATATTTATATTTTCTGTTTTTATTAGGAAATAAAAACAGAACTAAGTCGATTTTCTGACATTATCTTAAAAGCATAGTAAAAATTATATGTGTACTAACAGTAATAAAATGTCTATAATACATTTATGCACGAAAATATATTAAACAGATAGAAATTTTCTCCAAAACGATACGTTTGTAAAAGAAATGAAAGAATTTCACAAACAAAAATAAAAACAATAATAAATGATTTTACATACTGGAAAGGAAATAATTATGATTAATTTCNACAGATGAAAATTTCCTCCAAAACGATAAGTTTATAAAAGAAATGAAAGAATTTCACGAACAAAATTAAAAACAACAATAAATGATTTATAGCATATTTTACATACTGGAAAGGAAATAATTATGATTAATTTCACATACGTGCCAGTTAGTTTGAAGAACCTTCAAAGTATTTAAATGTATTTTAAAACTAATATTATTTATTTAATTTTGAAAAGAACTTTATCAATGTTTGCCATTTTCAACTTCCTCTGAGTAAAGAGAAAAACGGAAAAATTCCTTCAGAAGTGAAAGTTACACTTCATATCTCTTTTAGCAACACAAGGTGAAAAAAGAACTGTTGTAATTTAGTATAAAAGGTTTAAATCACCTAGAACAATTGCTTTTAGTCATAGTTCAACACGCTACTAGCCACAACGGTAAGGTCAACGTTAACCTTTTTATTAAGTACTGTTATTCAGCTGAAAGACTTCACTCACCGTCTTTAAGATTAAGGTTCTCTCATTGCATTCACGGTTATACAGGTAACCAATGAGATTTTGTTTTTTTTCCTGTGCTCACGAAAATATTTGTAATCAAAGCTAGGATCGTTTGGATAGTTATATATTCAGTTCATTATATTAATCCTTTGAATATTATTTCAATTGTAAGTTATTCCTTATATTTACGTATAAATAAATGTTTGATATTTTATAATTCGTCTACAACCACTTCCTCAATTAAAAGAACATACCTTCCAACATACATCGCTCGCACCATACTAAAATGGAATTGATTATTTACGAATTAGAACGCGATCGTTGAAATAAAATAAAATTCTAACTAATTATTTAAAGTGATTACACTAGCAAAGACATTATAATAATAAATTGATTAAAACTAAAATTATACAGATAATGTAACTGACAATTCACAGATACATATATATATTTACAATAACAACAATTTTTGGGAAAGAAATGGAGGGCCTCACAACATGATCTAATTACAGCAGAGATTCCCAGAGTTTTTCAAGCCACCGTTGCCTTGGTTCTATAAAGTTAAGCCTGGACTCAACGTTACCTGAAAAGAGAAACTCAGAAACAAAACTGAAACATATAAAGTTTTCGTTTCAGTTATGTTTTCGTTTTAACTTGACTCCACTAGAAATGCGCCATCTATTGATCAGTTCTTTAATTGTCGTAGAGTCAAACATGGACGACGCTACGGATTTTGCCACTCTTTCTCTGCATTTATTAACAATTTCATTGATAATAATCTTTGAATTATTCACATTTTTTGTCGTACAGACATACGTATTTTATAACATCTTCGATGAAGAATTCCAAATCTATTTGTTTCCTCATCGTTTTCGCTACACTTTCCGCCATTACGACAATCAAACTACACGTGATTAATGCACGTGACAACGCGTCACAAATCCTTGCGTATTTATTGGTTGGAGTACGACAGAAGCGCGGGACGAAAACGGAAAAGTTAAATAATTTGTAACTCTGCTTTCAGTCATGTTTCTGTCCAACTGAACGTTACAAAACTGAAAGTTTCGTCAGTTTGGCTTTCAGTTTTACGATTACGTCGCGGATTCCGGTAATATGGAGTCCCCAGACTTTATACTTAACGCCCCCAACCCATTTTCCTTGTTGAGAAACGCTTAAAAATATTCTCAGGGAAATTTTTTCAATGAAATTCACACTTTATGTCAGTACACTATATTGTTCTCCACATTTGGAAAACATTAAACGTAATGCTTCTTCTTACTCGTTTTAAACCAAGAAAGGAAAATGTTGTCAGTGACCCCAAACTCGCCTATGGTCATCGTTCAGAATACTGCCTCATACGACCCTTGCCGCTTACTTGCTTCTTTTCGCATCGCTAGAGTTACACATTGCTCAGAGGGGATCGGTAGCGTCCATTTTGGGAACTACTCAACTGTAGGAATATTATAAAAAATAAACAAATAAATGCTGTCTTTAGTTAATATATATAACTCAGACTCTTATGAGACTTTGTACAGTACATATAGTCTCAAAGAAAGTTCGACTTATAGCTAGTTGCATTGAGATCAAAACAATGACTTCCCCAATTTAGTCTAATTACTGTATTGTGGAAAGTGTAAGGGTGTAGGTCTCCCGATCCGGCAACAGGTTGTTAAACCCTTTCACTGTCAGGATGGATGGAAGGATTCTTTTTCCCGCTGTAACGGGCTTTAATGTTTCGGGTCGAGTGGCGGAGGGAGGAGTGCGTCGGTAAGACGACAGGCGATATACGAGTAAACGAGGAGACCAAACGTAACATAAAAAAATAACAATTTATTAAAGCTAATTTCGGGTAGTACAACGTCTAGTTCCCGTTCCTAAAGCGCGGAACTTTCGAGAGAGCGCTTACAATAAATGGCGCCATACTTCTTTATCGATCGTTATCCAAACGAGGAAAAATTTTCGTCTTTGGTTGAGGACAGTTATTCGTAGTAGGACACTAATTTTTTCTTAAAAAGGACACTATTTTCAATCGTAAAAAGGACGCTATTTTTAAACGTAACAAGGAAACTATTTTCAATTATTTGTTTCCGTCTTGCGCCGGTTCTTGAACGACTCCCCCGAGAAGGAAAAGGAAGGGGTTTTTATAAATTTGTCGTAGGAGAACGGTCATGTGACCAATTGTTGTGAGGTAAAAGGTACGCGGATGGGTCAAAGTTGTTCCCAGGCTCATGCTAACTATCAACTTAGCAGTTAAAATGTGGGATTAGTTTCGAAATGAACGGATGTTTACCTCAAATAGAAAGGAGCGATAGACATTTTTCTTTTCTCCTTTTAGTAAGTTAAAGGAAAGTTTGATTAAATTTTTAGGCAAAAACGGGACATTGAATTAGCAAATAATCGGTAAAAATTCCGGATCTCACAGAAAGAAAACTAAGACCAATTCGGTCTAGTAAAAATTTCACACTCTCTTTTGGCAAATGATATTAACATAGAAGCCATAATCATCCAATCTTCTCAAGTAATTTGCTCTTGAATATATAATATACGGTCTTCTTCATTTCATATAACGTTTTCATGTGGGGCCAATCCTGACGAGGCACTAAACAGGTCATACGACCTATAAATTGTAGATATTTTAAATTTCTCAACATCTCAGTTTCGTTCTCGTTAAATATCATTCTTTTCTCCGAAATACGTTGTTTTGCGCGAACACCAAACACAAAGTTTATCGTCTACTTGCACATTTCATATGATTAGAGTTATTAGTGTTTTATTAGTGTTAGATTTGGAGTTGGTGAATAAGAATTTAGCAATAACTCCAAATTCAACCCTAACTCTAATTTTAACTCGGTTTAACAAATATGGGGCAGATGGCTCTTTTCGACACTTAAAATTAGACCAGTTACGGGAATATTTGTGGGGCTAATACGGTGTCTGAAAGCAACACTATCAATCTCGTATATTATAAATATTGTATTTGCTTGTGTAGATAAAATTATATAGACTACTTTCATGAAAACATTTTAGTTAATTTACAGTAACGATGGGGATGATACTTTCTTGTCCCGCTATAAATTACTTTTCTAGGATAGTGAGTATAGGCGATTGTCTTAGTGCTGTACAAACATGCAGAGTGCACGATGTTGATTCTTTTGTATTGAAGTCGGAAATAATTTTAAATAAGTAAAATATTCTTCAAAACGATTGTAGAATCTGCTGTTATTTCAAATTTCCTTGGTAATTTTTTTTTTTATATTTACATGGTCGGATTTCTCATTGCAATTGATGGAAAATGGTTCTAAATTATTACGAGTAAAATACAAACTACTAATATAAACAACATTTATGTTTATTAAATTTTAAGAGCACACATGTATATAGTCTATTTTGTTATTTTGTGTTTTTGTTTTACAATTATTAATGTCGAAGAGAATTTACTTCAAAACAAAGTTTGTTCATATATTTATTGTTATAAGATTTTGCTTCTTGTTGTACCTATTTCAATGATGTTTCTACGAGCTTTCTTTGATAAAAATCAAATTTAAAAAATTTTGTGTGCAAAGGGCATTGATTCTATTAAATTTTTGTTATGAAAGGTACGTGGATGGAGAAATACGGGAAGATAACGTGTCTCGTAACTCGCGAGGGAACAGACTTAATAAATATTTTACTTGACATTATCAGTAAATAACAATATCAAAAGCGCTCAGCAACTAAATAATAAGAAACAAAACACCTTTTTTGCCGAAAAATAAATATAATTTAAAAAAACAAACGCTTTCAGCCTAGTTAATAGGCCATCTTCAGGTCGAAAAAATGGAACGTAAATGTTCCATAAATAGAACATAAAAATTATTTAAATCAAAAATTTTACAAGAGAAAAAATAACGGAAGAATAAATAAATAAATAAATTAATTAATTAATTAAAACAAAAATAACATAAATCTTCAATGGATTAATTCTGGTCGAAGTTTCTAGTATATTTCTTAACCAAATATTTCCATGCCGATGGTAGGCTCTCCGCATCTCTCGCATTTAAACAGCCTTCCCCTATCCTACTTCTGTATATTTCAATTTTCTCCGCCGTCATTGCTAGAGATGGGGAAGACAGAGGCTTGATGANTTTGTTTTTGCAAATTATATTTATTTCTCGGCAAAAAAAGGTGTTTTCGTTATTATTATTTAGTTGCTGAGCGCTTTTGGTATTGTTGTTATGGCGGCACCGGTGGAGAATTACAAGAGGTATAGGAAGTTGGCGTTAAAGCTGGTTAAAGCTAGTTGTAAATTAGAATTTTTAAAAGAATGTTTAAATAATAAGGTGTATCCCATGTCGATTTACCGAATTAGCATCCCTAAGGAATGCCGTTCTCTAAAAAGTAGGTTCTGTTTGGCGTGCCTCAAAAAGTCTATTAGAATAGCCAAAAACAAAAAGTATGGGATACTGAGTGAGCTTATTTGCTTGGAGGACACAATATATAATGATGATCCGGCCAAACTGATTGATATCAATAAAAGGGTGGTGGAATTGGCGGAAGCTGTTTGTAGGAGTTCCAATAAGCAATATGTCAAAAAGTTGAAATGGATTATTCATAAGCAAGTAAGAAGAGATAATAGGAAGAACCTTAGTACTTTCTATGTATGGGACCAGATAGAAATACCAAAGAAAATCGAGCAGGTTCTGGAGAAAGGCCCGAACTTTGTCCCCACTGAAGTAGATGGTTGGGAGACGTCAGTACAGAAGATTGAGAGAGGGATTGTTGGACTGGATGCATTAGAAAAGGAATATTTTAGATGGAAAGCGGTCATTAACAAACGGCCGAGGAACAGGACAGATGGTATTAATAGTAGAGACATTTGGCTCACGAAGGAGTGGTTAAGGATTAATGATCTTGTGTTGACAAGAGCAGACAAGACTAAGCATTTGGTTATCATGAGAAGGCATACTTATAACAAGGAGTTGCATAGTTACATCAGAAAGACGGAATGTGAAATTGTTGGCGACAAGATAGTTGGAACATTGGACAGAAGAGTCAGGAGGCTGGAGCGCTCGGGACTTTCTGCTGTTTTACCTTTTCTCAAGAAATGCTGGAACCCAAGGCCCGGAACTCCAAGATTGTTTGCTTTCGCTAAAACCCACAAGACCGGAATGGAGTTAAGGCCAGTTGTAGAGAAATGCAGAGGACCCACCTTTATATTAGAAAAAAGGCTGCACGAATATTTATCCTCACACCTTGATGATGATAGTCTAGTGGCACAAGATCCTCTTATTGTTGTCAAGGAAATACAAGGTATATCTTTAATGGAAGATGAGGTAGCGACCGTTTTAGATTATGAAAGCATGTATCCTTCAGTAATGATTGAGTCTTGCGTGGATGCGTTATTGGATTTCTTGTACATAAAGAACTCCCAATTGCATCTTTACACCCAAGAGCTAGAAGAACTGGCTAAACTGGTATGCTATGAGTCATGCTTCGCATTTTGTGGTCAGGGTTCCGATGGGAAGTCCCCTCTCAGGAATCCTTTGCGAATTAGTTGTCAGAAGAATAGAAAGACGGGTACTTCATAGTTTCAAGGAAGATATTGTATATTTCAGCAGATATGTGGACGACATCCTTATTTTATGGAAAAATAATAGTAGGGTGCATGAATTTATGAGTAGAATTAATGATAACGATGATGGGCTTAAATTGAGATTAGAACAGAAGAGTTCCTTGAGTGTGCACTTCTTGGACATTAATATCCGGTTTATGAAAGGGCATTTGTCCACAAGTGTTTATATTAAACCTACACACGCCCCATTATATATTCCATCCCAATCCATGGATCCATATCGGTATAAGATGGCAGCCTTCCGAGCGTTAATAAGGAGAGCCTATTTATATTGTGACCGAGTCGCTGACAGAGAGAAGGAGATTGATAGAATATTGCAGGTGGCCCGGACCCTGGGTTACAGAAAAAATATAATTGTAGGAATGCTTAAGAAGTATGAAAGGGGCATAGTAAAAAGAGATTTAAGGAATGTTCCTACTAGGATCACAAAGTTTACTTATAATAGTAGTATGAATAGTGTAATGAAAGAAATTGCTAGTCGAAAGGAATCAAGAATGGTATTAAGAAGAGCCCCTAATTTGTATAAGATCTTGAGAAATGATAAGGATAGTATCAAAGTGGAAGAAAAAGCAGGGGTGTATAAGATTCCTTATGAAAACCTACAACTGGATGTTAAAAAAGATTATATCGGCGTCACTACCAGAAACTTGGGAGTAAGGCTCAAAGAACATAGATACGCCATAAGAAAAGCATCTAATTCAACGATATTGTCACAAATGGCGCAAGCGCAAGGCTCTGAGGTTAAATGGGATGAGGCAACAATCATCAAGCCTCTGTCTTCCCCAACTCTAGCAATGACGGCGGAGAAAATAGAAATATACAGAAGTAGGATAGGAGAAGGCTGTTTAAATGCGAGAGATGCGGAGAGCCTACCATCGGCATGGAAATATTTAGTTAAGAAATATACTAGAAACTTCGACCAGAATTAATCCATTGAAGATTTATGTTATTTTTGTTTTAATTAATTAATTAATTTATTTATTTATTTATTCTTCCGTTATTTTTTTCTCTTGTAAAATTTTTGATTTAAATAATTTTTATGTTCTATTTATGGTACATTTACGTTCCATTTTTTCGACCTGAAGATGGCCTATTAACTAGGCTGAAAACGTTTGTTTTTTCAAATTATATTTATTTCTCGGCAAAAAAGTGTTTTGTTTCTTATTATCAGTAAAACTGATCTCTATCTTTAAAACTAGGTCGTTTGCTATTTTATAATAATTAAAAATATAGAATTTTTTTTATCACAAAATCCGATGACAGATGGCATTACATACAATTTTACTTATTAATTTTTATTAATAATACAAATGTTATTTGTATTTTTAATTATTTGTATTTGTTATTTAATATCTAATAAAAACCAAAAAAATTTACGCAAGTCTTTGCTAGATATTTTTAAGATATTGGCCATATTAATTGTTACGCTTATTTTTTACACATGCAAAAGCAAAATTATTCACATATAATTATTTAATTTATATTACAAATACTTTTCTATTAATACAAGATGCACAATGGATAAAATAATATACAATAATATTAACTGACTAAACAAACAGTTATTTAAAAGTTCAGAAACTTTTTTCAATTAACTATAAAAACATTAATTGTACGACAAGATCAAATCAACAAATTAGAAAATTATGAATTTCATCAATGATAATTTGTTAAAAAATTTAGTCAGTGATATCGTATTTGCAAATTATGTGACAGACAATCGTACAGGATTTAACATATCTACATATATACAATACAAACATATATTTGTATTTATAGAACAACATATTTTAATATAAATATGTAAATTTTATAAATATGTACTGTTCAAAATTATTAATAGAAATAACGCTTATCAATTCTATGAATTCTACACATGCATATTATATTAAATGTAACAGAGTATATGCTAACATTACCATTTAATCTATGTACTTTACTATGACCTTGTATAAAATTACAGAAAATTACTTTAACGCAATATCGATTGAGTTAAAATTACTCTTTTCACATTGATTATAAGACACCGAAACTTTCCGTTTATAATTATTTCGTACATTTGAAATTCTATATTGTCAATTATAAAAAGTATTATTAGTGATGAAATTGCCGTCGCAGTGTATCTTCGCATTCGACACGTTTCTTAATTTTAAAAGTCCCGAAAAAACAGATTGCAGCGTTTTTGCCATCTGAAAAACACAAATGTTTGTAATTATCACTGAAATCATGCATAATTAAAATTAGTAAAATTTATGAATAATCTACAGAAACACAGAAATAGCAACCTTAAGAGGAATTTTCTTATCGACGACTAAGAATCCACCCATCGTAATACACAATGAAACCTTCCCGAATCTTTTCATGAAATCGAGAATCTGTGAAAGATATACGCAAAACAATGTAAAAACATTGAGATAAAATGTAAGGTAATATTTTACAACAGTTGATGTTAGTTATATAAATGAATATATATAGTAAGACTAGTTTCAACATGCCACTCGGATTCGGATAGGAAACTGAATGGCGCTATTAAAGACTTGTTCATTCAGCTTTTTATTTAAATCATTGTATTTTGTAGTAGTGCCTTAACACCGAGGTGGGTTTTAGGAATTCTTATTTTTACTGCACATATATCAGTTCTGTTTTTTCGTCTGTCCGATAAACCCTAGAGTTTACAAATTGTTTTAAAAGATAAAAATGTAAAATAAGGACAATAACACAAATCGCATACCTATATAATTATTTATTAAATTCAATTACCGTTGAATTTTAATAATCGTTAAACATGTACAGCGTGTACTGTGTGTCTGCGTATGATATAATTTACTATACGGTAAATGAGCTGTGGTTGTGTACAATAGATTGAATTAAGGATTAGCAAGATATGGCACACGTACCGAACGTAGCACGCAAGACTATTTTCAGTGGCACTCTGATTGAATATAAATTATTAGAAATGATGTTTTAATTATTAATTTTTAAAGTCCGTTATAACCGGACCAGTTTTGATACTATATATTGCAGACATTAGTAGAGTCGTGTCGGCATCCGGAATAACACTATATCTTAAATTCGGCACAACACTGCTGCATGGTTGCAAACGCTTGGTTTGAATATCGATGTTGAAACTGCATTTAAAAATTTACCGTATATATTCAATAGAAATGGTAAACTCTACCAATATTCCTTCCGTAGCTCTTTCTCGTGGGTGGAATAAAATATACTGTACAGTATAAAATGTGTAAAGTAGTACCTGACGATATCGAATATTTTACAAATTTTTCTTTTAAACTGGTTCCATTTAATATAAAATATCGCTCCGTTTCAAACAATTTTTTCCGTTTATACTGGTTTTCAATTTATTCAGGTTTCGTTTTGGGCAGTGTAATTTAATTAATTGTTTTAAATTTAAGTAAAGAAATGCTTATAAAACCCAGAATCGAATAATTAATTATTGCACACATACGGGATTTCAGCTATACAATTCAAAATTCCCATTACACATTTTTGTCAAACTGTATATTAGAATATTCACTATTTTACACGGCGTTAATAGCGTGCGACTGTATCGCATGAAGTCCAGCTGCATATTTTCTGTAGAAGGCAAGAGCAGATTTGTAGAGAATATTTTACAATAAATTTGTAATTCGAATTGAATAAGAGCGATGCCTAATGTGTAACGAGTAATGATATATACAGTTGTAGCGAATTTCTACTCATTGAGTAAAAAAAAAAATGTATTTATTTATTTTTTGATTTATTCGATATAAAAAGTATATTTCATATCCCATAAACATGTTGTAATTTGATACAAAATTAATATATAAAGTTAGACGCAATCGCTAGTCCAGACAGAATGATTAATTTTCGAGTTACCATTGTGTACATTTTTAGGTGCATTCGAAGAGCCAAATTGAAAACATAAAATCTGACTACTCCCCAAGAAAATTATGCAGACAGAGTCTTGAGATTCCCCTCTCAAAATTTTTTGTTGAGAAGTCAACTTAAATCTAACATCGATGCAACGATTGAACGATTATGAACCTTATGTTTTGGAATTACGTATCCTTTGCACACCAATAGCCAAGTTATAGCAACGACTCATTCAGTACCAAAACTTTATGGAGCAGTTGCGCACCTCTCTTGCACTCAAAACTCAATCTTTGTCTAACTTTTTTTAATTTTCTTAATTTGTAATGAGATACGTGACAGAGTAAGCAATTTATGATTAAACAGATAGAGATCGACATTTCAGATATTTTTCGATATGTATAATAGAAATATATAATATTTGGATATATACTTTATATAATACTAGGAATATGCGAATTATCGAAATGTATATAGATTAAAGCTTAGCAAAAATTAATTTGTTAATATGTAAAAAGAAATATACTNCGACATTTCAGATATTTTTCGATATGTATAATAGAAATATATAATATTTGGAAATATACTTTATATAATACTAGGAATATGCGAATTATCGAAATGTATATAGATTAAAGCTTAGCAAAAATTAATTTGTTAATATGTAAAAAGAAATATACTAATAATTACTTTAGACACGTTCTTGAATAATTGTGCATATACTCGCGGTAAAAGAGAAGTCACCCGTATCATAGTACCCTGCAAATTTCTCATATCTTTGCGAAAACTGACAGGAGTCATCATAAAACATGAATAATCTAAATAAACTCAGAGGGAACACAACAAAATTCATCATTCTAAATTTAGAAAGTATTACAGGTCTAATATAAAGACGTTAAATATCTCTGGAATTTACTTCATTCTAAATAAATTAAAAGATAATACAAATAATACCTGTAGTTTCTGTTCCAGTTTTAATTTCGGTACAGCAAATTGAGAGATATCTTGAAATGCATTCTGCATCTAAAGACAGGAAAAACAAAACGAAAATTGATACTTAAAATTATCTTACTAATATATAATAAT